AAAATTTAAAAAAAGATGAAAAAATTATCATGTGAAAAAATTGGGGGTGTGGTTAACTGGGGAGTGAATCTAGAGATACTTTACCACCGATCTACATCCCCACCCATTTTTATTTTAATTAATTATTTATTTATTTGTGGTGCTGGGGGTTGAAGCCAGGGCCTTATGCATGAGAGGCAAGCACTCTACCAACTGAGCTATATCCCCAGCTCCTCATTTTTATTTTTCATCTTGAGACAGGCTCTTACTAAGTTGCTGAGGGACTCATTAAGTTTCTCAGGCTGGTCTTGAACTTGTGATACTCAGGCCTCAGCCCTCCTGAGTTGCTGAGATTACAGGTATGTGCCAGCACACCCAGCTTCATATGAAATTTTAACAGTGCAAATCAGTGGACAGTAGGTCTCTTCCTACTTCTTTCCTAAGACACTCAGTTTCCCTTTCCAAACTATTAAATCACTTTTACTGGGAATGGGGATATAGCGCAGTGGTAGGGTGTATGCTCAGTATGCTTGAGGCCCTGGGTTCAATCCCCAGCACCATAAAAACAAAACAAAAACACTCACCTATTTCTTAAGCATTCTCCCAGGCTAGTCTATAACTATTCAAAGATAAGTTTTAGTCAAAGGTAAAATCCTGACTCACACATGTACAATATGGACACCAGTTAAGGATTCAATTCTACTCATTAATCATGAACATTCACCCACTAATCCTGGGACTAATCATTGGCAGCTCTGCCTGAGTTGGAGGAGGCCCAGAGACAGAATTGGAGGGGACATTAGAGCCCACCTTAAAACCAGTCAAGGAAGGGGTACACAGTGGTGCATGTCTGTAATCCTAGTGACCAGGAGGTACTGAGGCAGAAGGATTGCAAGTTTGAGGCCAGCCTGGGGAACACAGTGAGACCCTGTCTCCAAAAGTAAAAAGGCCTGCTGGTGTGGCTCAGTGGTAGAGCTCTTGCCTAGCATGTACAAGGTTTGATTTCAGAACCACAAAAAAAGGGAATTAATTGTTGGGCTGGGGATGTGGCTCAAGCGGTAGCACGCTCGCCTGGCATGCGTGCGGCCCGGGTTCGATCCTCAGCACCACATACCAACAAGGATGTTGTGTCCACCGAGAACTAAAAAAAATAAATATTAAAAATTTAAAAAAAAAAGGGAAAAAGAAAAAGAGCAAGCAAGGACTCAGATGTGCATATCACGTTGCATGAGTCAAAGGCAGCCTGTGGTCTTCTGTTATAGCAGACTGAGTAAACTAACACTTCCTGAAACGTCAAATAGACATAGTTATTGTTGTAATCACTGTTGTCACGGTTACCTCTCTTGTCCAAAGTCCTGCTACAAGCAAGTAATTGACTGGTTGAGCCAGGTGGAGGAAGCAGGTTCCCTGAGTCAGTAGCCTGGGGTTTTGCCTCCTGGCTGATCAACCCTCTCTTCTTTAATCTTAAGGCAGGACTTGCCTTCTCTGGGGTGCAAATTTTGGGGGTGTGAGATGATCAGGAGGAGGAGGTCCCTTCCTTAATCAAAGAAGCAGAACATTCTCTGCCTCTGGTTCCTTTTGAGCTTCTTTGGGCCCTAGGGAGAAAGGACGGGCTGAGGTAGTTCTGAGATGAACTCTCCCTACCCTCAACAGGATCAAACCCAGAGAACAGGTCTGTAAGAAAATTAACTACTCCTAGCTGGACGCAGTGGCACATACCTATAATCATAGCAACTTGGGAGGCCGAGACAGGAGAATTACAAATTTGAGGCCAGCCTCAGCACCTAAGGAAAACTCCCAGCAACTTAGTGAGACCCTGTTTCAAAAATTATAAAACAAAAGACTGGAGAGGTATTACAGTGGTCAAGTGTCTCTGTGTTCAATCCCCAGTACCAAAATTAAATCAATCAATTAATCAGTAATAAAAAAAAATTATAAACAGAAAATCACCTGCTCCTTATTAGCTCAAATCCATCTCTCAAAATTCACAGAAGGTTCAGGGAGACTTCTGAAGAAGTCCCTTTTGCTTAGAACACTGCATTATAAATAAATACAGTGCTTTGGAACCTAGAGGGTGGCCCTCACCTACAGGATCCCATTGTATGCTCGAAATAAATAGGCAAGGCCTGGAGCTGGCAAAGCAGAGTCTTGAAAAATCCATCCTGGAATTCCTTCTCCTTCATTTTTGCTGTCTACGAATGAAATGTCTCTTCTGCTGGATAGGGAAGATACAGAGTGGGCCTCCCCCCTGCCTAGGTCCCGGGGAGTGCTCAACACAGCACTTGAATAAGTAGGTGCTCAGCACATTCTGTTGAATGGCTAAATAAATGCCAAGGACTAATCAGAGAGAAGAAGCATGGGTCTCCTCTTTTTTTTTTTGTACCAGGGATTGAACCCAGGGGTGCTAACCACCTACTCAGCCCCCCCTTTTTTTAATATATATTTTACTTAAAGACAGAGTCTCACTGAGTTGCTTAGGGCCTTGCTAAGTTGCTGAGGCTGGCTTTGAACTCTCAATCCTCTTGCCTCCTCCTCTTGAGCAGCTGGGATTACAGGCTTGCACCACTACACCCAACGGCACTGGGTCTCCTATTAAGGAAGGAAGTATTATTTTATTTTATTTTTTTTAGAGAGAGAGAGAGAGAATTTTTTTTTAATATTTATTTTTTAGTTCTCGGCGGACACAACATCTTTGTTGGTATGTGGTGCTGAGGATTGAACCCGGGCCGCACGCATGCCAAGCGAGCGCGCTACCGCACTCCTGGGAGGCATCTATTATTTTACTATTTATTATATTATTATTATTTTAAAATATTTTTTATTTGTTGATAGATCTAATTTATTTATATGTGGTGCTGAGAAGCAAACCCAGTGCTTCACACATGACAGGCAAGTGCACTACCGCTGAGCCACAGCCCTAGCACTATTTATTATATTATTATTATTTTAAAATATTTTTTATTTGTTGATAGATCTAATTTATTTATATGTGGTGCTGAGAAGCAAACCCAGTGCTTCACACATGACAGGCAAGTGCACTACCGCTGAGCCACAGCCCTAGCACTATTTATTATATTATTATTGTTATGACTGTCATTTATGGTCTAGCATTCTACATTAAGCTCTTTTTTTTTTTCAATTAAGTTTTAAGTTTTTGTTTTGCAGTGCTGAGGATGGAACCCAGGGCCTTGCATGTGCTGGATAAGTGCTCCACCATGGACCTCCATCCCGAGGCCCTGCATTAAATTATTTACAAATACCAACTCATTGTTCCTCATATGCACTGTTAATAGCCCCATTTTACCGATGTGGGAATAGAGGCACAGGCAGGCTAAGTAATTTGCCTAAAGTTATTCCACCAATAATAGTGGAATTCAAACTTGTTTATTTTTAGCTTCGATTTGTCATTTTCAGAGTTTCCCTGTGCCTGTGAGCTAAGTCTACAATGGTCCTAGGAGGCAGGTAGGAGTTTCCATGGCTCAGCTGAGAACATGCTGCATGTGGAGCAGATGTGGAACTTCGACCCAGGTCTCCTCAGGGCTTGGTCTGACACAAAGATCTGCACTGTGAAAGCGCATGAAGGCCATGCATCTGGGCCTCCAAACTGGGGGGATTGAGGACCCATCCAAGGATGAGTACAAATTCACTTTGGGGATGCAGGACTTCTGTAAGGCAAGAGAAGGAGGACCAAGGAGTGTAAACAGAGACCTGAGCTCCACACTGTGAAGTCGTTCAGCCTGAGCTCCACCAGCACCTCCCTTTTGCTCATGGGCTGTTCCCTCTTCTTGCAAGTCCTTCCCTCTCTGCTCTTACTCTAGCTAACTCATCCTGCTCCACAAGTCTCTTGGAATTTTCTCTCTTCCAGGAAACCTCTGCCCCATTCTGGGGTGAGATCACATGAGCCTTCTCCAGGCTCTCATAGAACCAGGTCATTCTCCTATCAGCATCATTAAAAATGAATAGGCTGCATTCCCTCTCTCTGTCCCAACAGCCTGAGAGCTTCTCCAGGGACAGGGACCCCATGTTCCCATGATAATTGAGACTGTTGACCAACSGTGTGTTCACATGCCTAGGTTCCCTCATCGGCCTATGCTAAGGAATTGTTCACATGACTAGCACATAGAAAGTGTTCAGTTCRAGTTTATTGAATTGAATTAAAGAGAATTGGTTGTGCCAATACACCCTACACCTTAGCAGAGAAGTCATATGGTTCTAAGACAGTTAGACAAAAACTATGTGAGGAACTAGCCGATTTCTGGGTTGAGCGGGGTGGGGGTGAGGAAGGGGGGCTCCTAGCTAGTTCACCATTGCAACGAAGATCTTCTCGAGATGCTGTTTCGTGTCTTGGGGCTTCGGCTATCCAACTGTTTCCCAAATCAGCATATAACAGGCGCTTACTACACAGTAAGACTAGTAAGGGACTGAGTGGTTGACAAAACCAACCCCCTAACAGCGCCTTCTTGCGGTGTCCGGAATAAACTTTGCACTTCCGTCACCAAAGGCTGGACAGCACAACGGATCCCCAGCGCCAAAGGAGCGATCCTAGGAGGGAATATAGCCTAAGCCACACCCCTCGCCTAGTTTTAGAATGGGGCACTTGGCGCAGGAAGGGCAGGGGACTGGCCAAGGGACTCTGGGACTCTTGATGTAGGAGGGACTTAGGGWGGTGGTCCGATGGTGGAGGCCACCAAGCGACCTGTCGCGGAGAAACGTTTGCACAGCAATCATTCGGTATTTTCTTAGGGCGAGTGTGCATTTGGGGGGCTGATGGAGACCGGAGAGCCCACGGCGCGGCTGCAGGCTGGGACGGCTCCCGCGCGATAGCAGACCTGGCACGGCGCCCCCCAGCGGAGCGCAGGGACCCCCGCAGCCCCGCGCGTCTAAGGCGGACCTGCCTGGTCTCCAGACGGCGCGCGCTCCCCAGCTCCGGGACCACCGCGCGGGGACCCGGCCGCGGCCAGAGCGTCCTCTCTACTTCTCCCTCCGCGTCTCTGTGGAGCAGGTGGGAGCAGGTCTACACAGCCGGGAGCGGGACCAAGTGGAGCCGAGCGTGGGCGGGGCCCGGGAGGTGTGGCCCTTGGGGCGGGGCGCACGGTGTCCGCGCCGGAGCCAGCGGCCCTGCCAGAGCCCGCGGGCGCCCCAGATTCGGTGCCAAGATGAGCGCCAGCAAGCGAGTGGCGAAGGTAATCGCGTTTGGGATGACGCCTTTCTCGCGGCCCTCGGTTCCCCGCTTCCGCCGTCCCCTCCGCCKCTCCTCCAGCGCTTTATTTATTTATTTGGGCTGGGTACCGGGGTGGCCGAATCCCAGGCATCCCCGCCCTCTCGCTAGAAGAAAGGGTCTGCCAGAGGGTCCGGAGCTGGAGTTTGGGGTTGGGGTGGGGAGGGTGCCTATGGGGTGGGAATGTCACTAGCTTCCTGAGCTGTACTGGGGGTGACGATGAGCCAGTTCCCCCCAAACTGGTTTCAGTTTCACTTTTCCTGGAAACTTGTAACAACTGAGTGCATCTGGATGCAGAAAAGGCTCTCGGTGCCAGGCGCTCAGCTGCAGCGATTGTGGGGTGGTTTTACGAGCAGCGATAACCAAAACCAGCTCCTTGCCTTGGAATAGCCCATGGCCCATCCCATACTTTGATACCTACATTATCCGAGTTCCGAAAGGCAGGGAATGCTGCTTAGGATGTGTGTGTGTGTGTGTGTGTGTGTGTGTGTGTGTGTGTGTAGGAGCGATCTATGGGTGTTCTCTGGAAGAAACGAATGGGAGGCAGCCCTGGAAAGCTTCCTGGAGTAGGTGGCCTGGTTGCATTCTTTAGGCAGATGTCGAATATCTAGGATAATGGCCCTGTGCTAAGAGGTAGCAGGGCAGCGACGAACAAAAATCCTATCCCTTTGGACTTTCATTCCTAACAGGGACACAACTTGAAGTAAGATCTGGAAGGATGAGGAGGGAGCAATTTTCCCCAGGAGGTGGGAAAACCCAGGGTGTTTGCAGGATTGGGGTGTGGCCAGAATTGGAGGGAGAGGGGGAGGAAGAGCAGTTTTGGTGAGGTGACATGGGCATCCTCCCCACTAACCTTTAGGGCTCCTGGAAGTGCCCCTGTGCTCTATGCACTATGCTCTATGCTCTATGCACTCGAGGGGCAGACAGCATTTTCTTGTCAGAGGCCGGGAAGGGACATCTGTACACCCAGAAGAGGCTCAGCCCAGAAGAACTGAAATCTGAAGGTTGGCAGTAAAATGGGGCAGAGGATCTTCCCCACCAAGTGGGGAGAAGACTGGAGCTGGTATTTGTCACTGGTGGTCTTAAGCACTTGGGATGTGGGGGTGTGGGGGGTATTAACTCAGGCAGTTTACGTAAGTTATTTCATCTAATTCCCCTAGCAGCTCTGTGAGATAAATAATACCCTCCCTTTTTTCAGTACTGAGGATTGAACCCAGTGGTGGTTTACCACTGAGTTACACCCTCAGCCCTTTATGTTTTGAAACAGGGTCTCACTAAGTTGCTGATGCTGATCTCAAACTTGTGATCCTCCTATGTCAGCCTTCTGAGTAGTGGGGTTGCAGTAGTGTGCCACTGCACTTAGCTAATGCTCCATTTTACAGATGAAGAAATTGAGGCTGAGAGAAAATAACTCAGCTGTCCAGGGTCATTCAGTAAGGAATGATGGAACTGAGCTTGGAGCCCAGRCTCCTGTCGTGGGTCCTCAACTAGCAGTTTCTCTCTCCCTTTCTTTTGTACCTATGGCCAAGTTTCATTTTATTCACAAGTAACATTTTTTTTTTAAATATTTGGTTAAAAAAATACATGTTTACAGTTGAAAATTTGGAGGAAATCAGCAGGCTTGTTCAGTGGCTTCTCTACTTTCATTTTCGGTTCCTCTAAGTCAGGTGATTTCCCAACCTGTCTTGGMAAAGAACTGTCCTAGCTTGAGTTTCAACATCCTCGCCGGGCTTTGGGAAAGTTTTGGCAGAACTCACCTAAAAGAGATAAAGTCCATGTGTTCCCAGTTATAGAAAGATACAGAACATGCCCATTGCAAATCTTGACTRTTCAGCCTTGGGCTTCATTCTTGCCAATGAGTCAGACAATACTGAGAGCAGGAGTTATAGGAGCAGGATTTATAGTAGTAATGATGTGCCCATTGTCTGGGGTAAAGATAAATGAGGTCATGGAGTCTGGGTGGAGCAGTTTGTTGGGCAGACATGGAACACAGGTGAGAGATACGAGAGGCAGGAGAATGTGTCTCTGTTGGGCAGGGGGAAAGAAAGTTCAGATGGCCACATAGTGGTGAAGGACCCCTCCTCAACTGAGGGCTGGGTTTGGCGCTTTCTCTCCAAATCCTTTGTTTACACAAGGATTTCTCAACCTTGTGACTATTTTTTTTTTTTTAAAGAGAGAGGAGGGGGGGGGAGAGAGAGAGAGARWKWATTTATTTATTTATTTATTTTAGTTCTCGGCRGACACAACATCTTTGTTTGTATGTGGTGCTGAGGATCGAACCCGGGCCGCACGCATGCCAGGCGAGCGCGCTACCGCTTGAGCCACATCCCCAGCCCAACCTTGTGACTATTGACATTTGGGACTTGGTAAATTACTTTTTTTTTTTTTAAGTGCTGGGTATTGAACTCAGGGCTGTGCGCATGCTAGGCAAGCCACCGAGCTATACCCCTAGCACCACCAGGTAATTCTTAGAGTTGTTTATCAATATCTCTAATCTCTACCCACTAAATTGCAATGGAAACTGTTTCTAGGCATTGCCAAATGTCCCCTGGGAGGTAAAATCAGTCCTAGTGGAAAACCACCCATTCATCTTTCCAGTGAAATATGACCTGCCCTTGAATTTGTTTGATCCCCTCTTTTCCCAAATGAAAGGCTCTGTAGGCCCATGGGATGGATCCCCCAAAGGGCTGGGCAGTGCCCTTTGAGAAGTGGGGCATGCTGGGGCTCACGTCTTGGAGAGTCACGACACACCATAGCCTTCTAAAGGCTCTGAGAAGTCCTGCAGTGAAGGAAGTGGTTTTGCTGAGTTTTCCCAAATATACTTGACCGTGGAACCCTTTTTCTGTAATAACCATTAACCTTCCATGGGACACCTATCCACATCTGCCTGGCCTAGGCCCTGTGCCTTGGTGCCTGTCCCCTTCTCTGCATGGCGGACTCCTATTTATTCGGCACAGCCTGGCTCACAGTGTGCACCCTTTGCGGAGCCTCCCTGATTCTCTGCCTTTCTTATTATGAATCCACACATAATAGGACAGGATTAAGTACCTGGATTTCAGGAAATAAAGGTTCCTAAGACATTTGTTCCCAAGTCTCAATACCTGGAAGAAGTGATCACCTACTCCTATGTCTAGTACCCCTAGAGTCGTGGTGAGGCCAAAATCAGATGTTTTAAAGCACACAGTGCCATGTGGCATACGTGCTAYGTGCTCAGTAAGTGGGGGCTTTAACTTTGCCAGGTTCTGCTCCCAGCATGGCTTGCCCTTGGGGTGGGGGCAGGGGCTGAAGTCGTAAGTACCAGACCCACTGACCACTCATTTGCCTCTTCCAGGAGCTGGAGGATCTGCAACAGGAGCTTCCGCCTTACCTGAAGCACCTGTACTGTGATGATGCCAACGTCCTGGTGTGGCATGCGCTCCTCCTGCCTGTGAGTGTCCATGGGGGTCCTGGCTTTGGATGCGGGGTACCATGGGCCAGTGGCCTGGGCAGGGAGGGTCTGGGTGAGGTGAGAATGTCGCCTGCCTTGGGGCTTTTGTCCTGAGGTTATCCTTGGTGGAGGGGGTCTCTCCCTGGGTTGATTGCTCTGAGTTCCTGGGAGATTGCTGAATATGTCAACGGACTTTTGGACTTATTAGAGACCCTTCCTCAGTAGCCACCAAGGCCACCCCAGAAGCTTCAGACAAACAGCGTCAAAAAGAAGGAGAAAACTGGGCACAGTGACATGCCTCTGTAGTTCCCAGGTGCTTGGGAAACTGAGGCAGGAGGATGGCTTGAGTCCAGGAATTGGAGGTTGGCCTTGGCAACATAGTAAGACCCTGTCTTTATAAAAGAAAAGAAAAGGGGTTGGGGATGTGGCTCAGTTGGTAGGGTGCTCGCCTAGTGTGCACAGGGCCCTTGATTCAACCTCCAGCACCACCAAAAAAAAAAAAAAAAAAAAAAAAGAAGAAAAAAAAGAAAGAAAAGCTGGGTGTGGTGGTGCACGACTGTAATCCCAGCAGCTTGGGAGGCTGAGGCAGGAGGATCATGAGTTCAAAGCCAGCCTCAGCAATTTAGCAAGGCCCTAAGCTACTTAGTGAGACCCTGTCTCAAATAAAAAGGCCTGGGGATGTGGCTCAGTGATTAAGCACCCCTGGATTCAATTCCTGGTTTAAAGAGAGAGAGAGAGAGAGAGAGAGAGAGAGAGAGAGAGAGAGAGAGAGAGAGAGTCTCTTGGACCTTTGCAGGCTTTGTCAAGGGGTAGGACTGAACTTCTAAGTTTCTGAGTTAGTAGAACCTGCTCCCCAAAACCAAAATGAATTTCGTTTTCTTTCGAAGATCTTATTTCAGAAGATCACCCATCTCTACTGTTCTCCTTTCTCTCTGTTCATTATTTGGTAGCATCTTGATAAAATCTCCCTTTGAAAGAAATATTCCCCAGAATCTAGCAGACTATGAGATCTCAGTTTTGCCATCTAATTATTGGTACTGAAGACATTATCTTTGAGAAATTCATCTACACACCTTTGGTTACTTGAAAATAAAAATTATTTTTTATTATTACTAGCTTTTTGTTGCTCAAAGCTCTTTTGGAATATTGAAATAGCAAGATGCTTCATTTAACCCAGAACTTGGGAGTCAGTAGGACTTCCTCGGCTAAGTATAATGCAACTTGAAATCCTTGGTCTTGTCCAACTTCACTTGATAGATGAGGAAGCTGAGTCTTACAGAAGCTCAGTCACACAACCAGCTTGTGGCAGAGGTGGGACGGGTCTCAGAGCTCTCAGCTCCATCTCTCTGCAACCTCTGTCCTCTGTTAAGACTTGTCAGCCCAGCAAGAAGGCCCTGCAGACCGGATGCAGGATGCCCCGCCCTGACCTGAGGCCTTGCCCTGGGCCTTATCTCTACCTCACAAGGCCTTTTCTCATTATCAACACCATAAAAACCGGTCATTCTCTTTATCTACCCAGTTGTTGCTTCATTTTACCTCAATACACCCATGGCCACTGTGGGTTTCCAGTTTACCCCCCATTAAGAAGGAGCTCTGCGAAGATCCTGGCTCTGGGCTTGGTGCAGCTCAGTGGTACAATGCTTGCCTAGTCTGTGCGAGGCCCTGGTTCCATCCCCAACACTGAAATCAAAAACAGAAACCAAACAAAACAAACCCTTGACTCTGCTGAGAGGGACTCCTGTCATTCTGGCTCCCTTTGCCCTGTGCTTTCAGTTTGAAGGGTCAAAGGACTTGGGGCTTTGGAACCTGCCCAAAGGCCTCTGTGCAGAGATCACCAAGTTCTGGGGTTCCTTCCTTCTACCGGTATAGAACATTTCTCCTGTGAGGAGATGTAAAGTCGACAGTGCTGTGTCTCTGTCCCAGCCCCACCACTGTGAACTTGTGCTGAACTTGACGTTCCTGATTTGAAAATGGAGATACTGGTAGATGTGAGTTTTCCTATGGATCATAATAGCTGACATATATACAGTGCTAGCCAAGTTCAAGGTCCTGCTCTCAGTTGTCATTTATTTATTTATTTTTAGTACTGGAGATTGAATCTAGGGGTGTTTTACCACTGATCTACATCCCCAGCCCTTTTGAGACAGGGTCTTGTCAAGTTGCTGAGGCTGGCCTCAAACTTGTGATCCTCCTGCCTTAGCCTCTAAATCACTGGGATTACCTGTGTACTCCACCATGCTCAGCTTTGTTCTAAGTTTTTTTTGTTTTTGACACAAAGTCAATCATTTCATCCTCACCTAAACCTTATGGAGAACTCTACTGTTGTCCCCATTTGGAAGCACAGAGAGGCTAATTCCTTACCCAAGATCATATAAGTGGCAGAACCAAGATTCACATCCAGGTAGGTAGCTCCAGAGTCATGTAACCCCTACACTCTTCTGCATGTCGACCATTATCTCAGAGAGCACAGAGTAGGTGCTCAAGAAAGTCTTCAGGCCACTTCAAGCCTGGAGGACCTCCTACTGGTTTCTGGAAGTTCCCAACCCCTGGGGAACTCTGGTCCTTGAGTTGGTACTTTTCAAAAAACTAATGGTAAAATATATATGAACAAACTTTACTGTCTCAACCACTTTTTTTTTTTTAGACAGTGTTGCCCAGGCTGGTCTCAAACTTGCAATCCTCCTGCCTCAGCCTCCTGAGTTGCTAGGATTACAAATGTGCACCAGGCTTGGCTTCATTTTTAAAGATGTTGTTCAGCTGAGTGCAGTGGTGCACAAATGCAATCCCAGCAACCCAGGAGGCTGAGGCAGGAGGATGGCAGGTTTGATGCTGACCTGGGCAACTGAGTAAGACTCTGTCACAGAATTAAAAAGTAAAAATAGAAAGGACTGGGTATGTAGTTCAGTGGTAAAGCACCCCTGAGTTCAGTCCCCAGTACCTGGGGCAGGAATACAGTTCAGTGGCATTAAATATGCTTGTGTTGGTGCTCAATCAATACCACCACCCATCTCTAGAACTCTTTATCCTTTATATTGAAGTTCTGTGTCCATTCAACAATAGCTCCCTCATTTCCCCCTCCTCCCAGCACCTGCTAAGCAATTTTATACTTTATTTTTCTACGAATTTGACTATTCTCTGTCCCTCACATAAGTGGCATAATGCAATATCTGTTGCTTTTTTTCTGGAGCTTATTTCACTTAGCGCAATGTCTTCAAGGTTCATCAATACTATAGCCAGCACTAGAATTTCATTCCTTTGTAAGGCTGAATAGTGTTCTACCATGTGCGTATGCCACATTTTGTTTATTCATCTGTTGATTACACCTGGTTTGCTTCCATCTTCTGGCTGTTGTGAATAATGCTTCTGTGAACACCAATGCACATTGGTATGCAATACCTGTTCATGTCCCTACTTTCAATTCTTTGGAGGATATGCCCAGAAGTAGAATTGCTGGACATATTCTCTTTTTAATTTGGGGGAAGTGGGTAACCAGGGATTGAACTTAGGGGCACTCAACCACTAAGCCACATCCCGAACCCTATTTTGCATTTTATTTACAGACAGAGTCTCATTGAGTTTCTCAGTGCCTCGCTTTTGCTGAGGCTGGTTTTGAACTTTCGATCCTCCTGCCTCAGCCTCCCGAGCTGCTGAGATTACAGGTGTGCACCACTGCACCTGGCTCTCTTTTTAATTTTGTGAGGCATTGCTGTACCTTTCCCATTTTCCATCCCCAAGCCTCTGAGTTCTTAGCATTTCCTCATTCTCTCCATTCCACCACTCACCCCACAATGACAACCTTCTCTTCTACTTGCTAACAACTAGAAAGAGAATGGTCTATCCTTCTCCTGGGCTGTCTTCCAGAAAAACCACAAAACTGAGATGGCCATTGTAGCTCATCTAGTCAAACTTTATCCGTTTTTCAACTGAGGAAACTGAGATCCAGAGATGAGAGGTGGCTCACTCTTGGTCAGACAGTGAAAGCCAGGGTCACATTTTCTGACACTAGTGTCCTTTTGTGATTCCACCCTTCCACTAATCTGTGGCTCAATTGCCAGATGAATGAAGGTGCTCTTGATTCTTCCTGGGGGCACAGGATGTCTGAGACCCTGGGATGGGGACAGGGGCAGAAAGGCCAGTCTGGGGCCCCGGCGGAAAGTGATCTTCCCGGAGCAGCTCTGCGTCAGAGCTCAACCTTTCTCTCTGCACAGCACCAACCTCCCTACAACCTCAAGGCCTTCAATCTGCGCATTGACTTCTCCAAGGAGTATCCATTCAAGCCGCCCACGGTGAAATTCACAACCAAGATCTACCACCCCAATGTGAGCGAGAGTGGCGAGGTCTGCGTGCCCCTCCTCAGCAAGGAGAACTGGAATCCTCACATCAAGACTTGCCAAGGTGGGTTGGGTCTGGCCCAGAGGAGGGACTGGTCTGGGTGGAGGTTATAGGACTTAAGTTAGAAAAGCCTAAAAAAGGGGAGATATAAAAATGAGTATCAGTTGAACCTGATGTGGGATAGAAGGGAGTCTCCTGAGATTCTGAACCTGCTGGCCTGCTCCTGCTTCTCTGTTCCTACATCTTAGGCAGGTGAGACAGATGAACTTGGCCATGGTTCATGGGAAAGAGGGCAGATTCGGTGTAGAGGGAAGGGCCTGGGATAAAAAGGCCTGCTCCTCCATCCATGGACTTCTGGCAAACCTCTGTGCTTTTCTGGGACACAGTGCCCTAAATGACAATGGAAGGGATTGTCCTGGTAATGATACTGCCCATCACTTAACAGAGCCCATCTAGAACTGTGCCAAGTGCATCGCCTGCCAACTTCATCTAATCCCGGCAGCCATCCTCTGAGGAGGGCCATCATGAACCCACTGAACAGACAGAGACACTGAGGCAAATGAGAAGTGAAGCAGGAGCCTAAGTTGGCGAGGGGCAGAGCTTAGCTCACAGTGCGGTCCAACACAACTTTCTGCAGTTCTGGAAATGTTCTGTGGCTCTGCTGTCCAATACAGTAGTCACTAGCCCACATCCAGCAAATGAGACTGGATTTTTAATTTTAATTCTTTAAAAAAATTTTTTAAAAATATTTTATTAGGGCTGGGGCTGTAGCTCAGTGGCAGAGTGCTTGCCTTGCATGTGTGAGGCACTGGGTTCAATCCTCGGCACCACATAAAAATAAAGTCATGCTGTCAATCTACAGCTACAAAACAATTTTTTTTTAAGAGAGAGTGAGAGAGGAGAGAGAGAGAGAGAATTTTTAATATTTTTTTTTATTTTTTAGTTCTCRGCGGACACAACATCTTTGTTKKTATGTGGTGCTGAGGATCGAACCCGAGCCTCACGCATGCCAGGCGAGCGCGCTACCGCTTGAGCCACATCCCCAGCCCAAAACAAATGTTTAAAAAATATTTTATGGGCTGGGGATGTGGCTCAAGCGGTAGCGCGCTCGCCTGGCATGCGTGCGGCCCGGGTTCGATCCTCAGCACCACATAACAACAAAGATGTTGTGTCCGCCGAGAACTAAAAAATAAATATTAAAAATTCTCTCTCTCTCTCTCTCACTCTCTCTTTAAAAAAAAATATTTTATTAGTTGTTGATGGGTCTCTATTTTATTTTATTTATATGCAGTGCTAAGAATTGAACCCAGTGCCTCCCATATGCTAGGCAAGCACTCTACCACTGAGCTACAACCCCAGCTGCTTAAATTTAATTCTTAATTTTAATTGAATTAGATTTAGATAAGCACACGTGGTTAGTTCTAGAGCCGATGGCCTTCATCAGTTCCCATCCTGTTTCTGAGTAAACAGGAATACTTAACCCCGGAAACAAAGATCCTTGGAGTGGTGGAGCTGCACGGGGAGTGGTCCCTGGATGGGATTCAGGGGGTCTGTGAAGCACGGTTCACCTGGAACTGTGTGTTTGTGCATGTGCTTAGGGAGACGGCCTGCCACTTTCCCTGGGGTTCCCAAAGGCTCCTGTGAATGAGTAAAGCTGTGGAGCAGCAGTCATTTTCAATCTTTAGCCTTAGAACTCTTTTCCCCAAACCCAAGTTAATTTGGAATCCCAATATAGCAGATAAAACCAGAGTGGTTCTTGTTGAAGAGAGGGTGAAACCCAGAAACCCCATATCTCATGAAAAGCTTGTTACTGAGGACCACTGACCCACTGAGCCAGAGCGTTGGGTGTTATCCACCTAGAATGATGGGGACGTTTGTTTTGTTTGTAGAATCATCCTAAGAGATGGGATCTCCTTGGGGTCTCCCCAGAGGTGGTTCAGGGGATCCTCCTTCCAGGATTTCCCCCCTAACCTGCTGTTCTGATCTGGCCTCTCTCAACAGTCTTAGAGGCTCTCAACATGCTGGTGGATAAACCGAATCCCAGGGAGCCCCTGCGGGTGGAGCTCGCTGACTTGCTGTTACAGGACCCGGAGCTGTTCAGGAAGAAGGCTGAAGAGTTCACCCTTGAATTCGGAGTAGACCGGCCCTCCTAATTCCCAGTCTGACCCCTCTTTGCTTGGATCCTWTGCCGGGTGGAAGGACGTACCTTGTGGACTTAGGCCAGAGCTCCTAGGAGGCTCATGCCCTGCTCATGTTTTCCTTCTTAGCTGCTGCACACAACTCTATACATGGGGTGGGAGTGGGGCTGCAGGCATGGGCATGCTGTGTGGACTCATTCCCAGGTTCACCTGGCCACAGGTGTGCCCTTCCCACACCCTTTATCTTCCCCAGAGCCAGCAGAGTTTAGGTTTGCTGAATTATAGGCCGTTTCTCCAGCTGCCCCTCTTAGAGAACAGGTCATCTTCCAGACCAGCTGGTAGTAAACCAGAACCCCCCAGGACCCAGGCATTGAGGGGTGGGGGCAGAGGGAGACACGGTGGGAGGTAGGGACCAAGGAAGACGTCATATGTTCCACTGATTGAAATCAGCCAAACTACTGATAGGTGTGGACAGATTTAGATACTAAGCTTTTTGTTTTCCACTAATGAATCACAAAATGAAAAAAGTTTATCCTCCAGATCAGCAATCTGACTACACTTTTGAAGACCACTGCTATCCTGACAGGGTGGGACCTCAGGCTGTGAGCTGTGTGCCCTCCAGGATCCAGGGGGAGTCATAGGACCCGTATGCTGGCCACTCGTGAATTGTGGCATTAGGCCAGACTCCTCAGTGAGGGGACGGGGCTTTCATCAGGAGAGAGGGCTGGGACTTAGCTGCCATCTAGCAACTGGTAGGACCCTGTAGTGTGTTTTCTCTCATATGTGGAAGCTAGAGACACCACAAGGGGAAAGAGTGAGGGGATTTCATGAAAGTGGAAGGGAGACCAGTAGAGGATGGGGAGGGAGGAGAGGGAAAGTGGAGGTATTGGGCAATGAAGTTGATCAAATTGTTGTGTACACATACAAATATAATGAACCCCACTATTTTGTATGATTATAATGCAATAATAATAATACTCTAATGATAATAAAGGTGTGACCCTGTTTCTCATGTATATTTCCCAAATATAAGGGATGCTGGCCATGAGAGAATAGGCCATCCTTGGCCGGGGGTGGGGGGCTTCAAACAGCGCACAGGGATAATACCCACATTTTACAGATGATGTACCAAGCATGGAGCACATCAATGGACTGCAGGGGTCTACTCTGCCAATCAGGTTGGAGCCCACACCCCTTGCAGCCATGCCAGCCTGAGATTTTGTGATGGTTGTTTGTTTGTTTTTGAGCAAACACGCTGTAATGGCTGATAAAGCCAGACAGGATTGTTAACAAAATGATAACCAGCTCCAGGTTCATCTTGATGAACAATGGAACGAGGAAAACAAACAGAAGCTTCAGCCACAGTTGGAGGGATTAACTTAACCCACAGGAAGAACTTTCTGGTTGCCATTATAGTAAACTCCTACAAAACTACTGACATCCCAGGGACAGAATGTGCGTTATCTCAATAGAGTCACCACAGACCCCAGTTTGGGTATGATTTCTAGAGAAACTTCTAGCTCTGGTCCTGCAGTTCCCCAATTTGGGGAAAAGCGTGGAAAGAGCAGAAGAGAATTAGGAAAAGTGCCCCCAGTGGCTCAGAATGTACTTTGGCCACCACTTATCGAACACTCATGGGGCAGAGTCCAGAGAGCAGAAAGGCAAGACAGGGTTTTACAAAAGTATTTTTAATGCAGTTGAAGCTGGTGCTACCGCCGGTCATCTGGGCACCCTGCTGCCTCCACCCACAAGGCCTGTCAGCTCATTTCTTCTTGGTCTTCACCAGCCCTTTCTGCACGAGGCTGCGGTACAGCTCCTGGATGTAGGTGTACACGCACTTGGAGTCGGGCACTGCCAGCCGTACCATGTCATCTACCTCCAGCAGCTGGGCACAGTCCGCCAGTTTCCTGAGGGATGGGTGGGATGAGCATCAGAGCAACACAGGTGAAGGATATGGGAGCCAAGGACACGGGCAGGGGTAGCTCAGGGAGGATGAATCTCATCAAACCATGTATGTTGGAGCTGGAAGATTGTCTAGCCAGCCATCCCACTGTATGGATGAGATAACTGAGGCCCCGACTGATTTAAAACTCAAACCCAGCGGGGCATGGTGGTACATGCCTGTAATTCTAGTGACTCAAGAGGATGAGGCAGGAGGGTCCCAAGTTCAAAGCCAGCCTCAGCAATTTAGCAAGGCCCTAAGCAACTTAGCAAGACCCTGTCTCAATACTAAAAAATTAAAAGGGCTGGGGATGTGGCTCAGTGGTAAAGTGCCCCTGAGTTCAATCCCTGGTACAAAAAAAAAGAAAAAAAGAAAAAGAAAAAAAGAAACAAAACCCCTCAAACCCAGCCGGCTTTGATTCCAAAGCTTCCATGTCCTCACATCCTTGCCTGGGAGCAGGTCTCTAGTTCTACATTAACCTCCTCCTTCCATACATTTGTCTATCTGTCCAGAACTCCAGCTAGGCCAGTCCCCCAAAAGGGCAGAAAACAAATCCTAGCCACAGTGCTGGGGTGCAGCTGTAGCAACCACAAGAGCTCCATTCATTCTGACTCTGTGTATTTATTAAGAGCCTACTGTGTGCCAGGCACTCTTCTAGGATCCAGGAATTCAGCAATGAACAAAGCCCAAACTTCCCCACTCTCGTGGCACTGAGAGTAATCAAACCTGTGAAGCAGATGCCACATCAAATGGTGAGARGTGCCGGAGAGAAAAATAAGGCAGGAACAGTAAGAGCATCCGCTCCTGTGTTAGAGGGGRGATCCAGGATTTTTCATAGGTTGCTCATGATTTTTTAAATCATATGCATATCTGGGGACAGGACTAAGGATGGAGGAAACAGCACTTACAAAGGCCCTGAGACAGCCATGTTTGGTGTGTTTGAGGGGCTGCCGGGAACTTGGCAGTCTGTCCTTTCCTTCTAACTTCCCAGGTGCCCTGTGAGGCCATTTGATACTCAGCTTTGCTGAGGCTGAKAAGCTGAGCTAATCGCTGTTGGGAGCCTCACTACCCACTGTCAAGTGCTTTATCAAATAATTGCCTTTGGAAGGTCTCACTTACTGGTCCTCAACCTGCCTGCAGAGGAACTGAGACTCAATATATGGGGGATTTGCTCCAGGTCAAAGTGAATGACAGCTGGGACTCAACTCTAGACCTGCCTGATGCCTTTGGCACCTGCTCTGAAGCTGGGTCTCAGCAATTCCAGGCTGCCAAAGCCACCGTGGACACTGGCAGTAGGAGAGAGGAGGGCCCCAGCGGAAATCCTCTCTTGGGGCTGAGACAGCTGGGCTGAAATCCAAGCTGGGCTGGCCAGGGAGCTGGGGGAGGGATGCAGACCCAAGCATTTCGAAGAACAAGACAAGCAAGCTCCCTGCAACCAAGGCAGTGACCTCAGCCCCAGGGGAGGCAAAACCCTTGTTTCCAGGGTGGTAGCACTGGCCTCAATTCAGCCTTGGCCATTGCCTCCCCTCCTCTCAGGATTCCATGGGAATCAGGAAAGTTCCGGAACAAAGCAGTCATATGTAGTGACTGGGCAGGGGGCCCTTACTTTTCACAGTTGATCTTTGCACCAAACACTATGCTAGGAAGCTTCCAGGATGTTAAGTGAGCTTCCCAGTCATCCAGTGGGAAGGAGGGGTCGAGGTTCAAACCTAGGAGCCTCTGCTCTGTTCTCCTTCGACTGTCTCCGCTCTTCTCTGCCTCCTTTCCCCTTTCACTGTCCAACGCCTCCTGTCAGCCTCTAGGGGTCCTCTGATTATTCCTCCTGCCTTCCTGTGACCCTGCCTGGCTTGGCACCAGACGCCAGGCAGCTGCGGGAGGCCAGTGGCCTGTGCCCTCCAGGCTGGGGATATTTGGCCGGGTCAGAGCTGAATGGCCTTCTTTCTGATGCTCACRATGCTCCCTACAGCCCAGCCCTGCCACTGCCCTCCTGCACAGAAAAAATCAGACAAGCTCTCTACTTGTATCCACTGCAGGATTGTGGAGGACAAAATGAGACCATCCAAGGAAACCCCTTGGCGGAACGCGTGGTGCCTGCTCACTGGACTCATGAAACTGTCATCGTTAAAGGTGTTTCTGAGCCCGGGGTGGGACAYGGTGCTCCTCACTGCCTCATGCCCCCACCCCAAACACCCCCATCCTATCCCATGGCAAGATAATGTGGAACTGGAAGGAACCTTCTGGAACCTGGAGTCTGGTGTGGGGTTTATTTTTCCCTTCCAGTGCCAGAGTTGGAACCCAGGGCCTTGATGGGTTAGGTAAATGCCCTTCCACCCGTCTACACCCCTCACCCAGAGCCTAGCGGTTTCCAGAGGGTATCCTTGCTGTTCTAGGACCCTACAGACGTGCCTCGGGGACCATCTTGGGAAAGGAGGGGAGGGCGCTGAGCTCTTCCTAACCTAAAAAGTTCTCCCTTTAATCTGTTTTGTAGTTGAACATTCACTTAAAGTTTTCTTTGAGGAAATCAGCCGTGAAGAAGAAAATGTTGAGAAGCTCAGATCAATATTAATCCTTTCATGTTGCTGATGGGGACAGGTGACCCCCACTGCAGGTTGGTGGCCAGGCCTGGATTAGATTAGAGGGCTCAGCTGCCCACGCCAAAGTGCTCTCACRTTCTCATTATCTAGTCCCTGTCCCTGGGCTTTGGAAATACACATGAGGTCCTTCCCTGGGYCTCAGAGTTGCCCTCCGCACAGCCCTGTCTCCCCCCTGGTAACTCAGAAGCATCTCCTGTGTTGCTCCCCAAGGCTGGAGGGAGCTCCTGGGCTGAGCTTCTCATGGGTACAGGTGGGGGCCTGGGGCTAAGGCTGACTTTGGAGCAACCATTCTCTGTCAGGCTGTGAAGTGAAAAATAATCATCATAGCAACTGTGGAATCATTCATGAGATTGTGGTGACACAGCCAAAGTGCCTGCTGCGCGGGGTTAGGAACTGTTACAGGAGCTTGATGATTTTACTTGATCCTTACAAGAATGCTGGAAAGGAAATATCATGCCTATTTTAAGAAGGTGGACTATGAAGRCTCAGGGAGGTAAAGAGACATGCCCAAGACCACGTCACTGACAAATGACCGAGCCGGAGTCCCACCCCAATCTCTGCAACATTCCTGTCTAAAACAGCAGGCCTTTCTCTTCTCTGTCCCTTACCCTGCCTGAATTTTCTTGGTGGCACTGTCACCGTTTGATATTATTTTCACCTCTCTGTGTGTGTGTTTATGATCTGTCTCTCCATCTTGAATGGGCCCCCTGAGCCAGYAGGGGTTTTGCCTGTTGAAGCCACTGACGTTTCCCCAGAGCCCGGGGCTCCATAGATACCTGTGGATTCATGAACGTGTGGCCCGACATCCACCTGACCACCACTGTCCACCCTGTGACTGCAGCCCGCTCTTAGGCGGCCCGAGCTCCCAGCGGGCCTGCATCCCGCGGCCGAGCTTACTCTGCGGTGGAGAAGGCCAGGGTGAAGTTGTGTCGGCGCTTTGTGGGGTCCAGCTCCGCGTAGTCAAAGGCATCAGGGAAGAACTTGTGGATGAGAGCACAGAAGGCCATGCCACTGCTCCAGCTGGAGGAGAAATTCTGGATATCCACGTGCTGTGGGGCCAGGGGTGCAGAGGGCCTGGTGACCCTCGGGCCAGAGGGCCTCAACTTTGTCCTCTCTCCCTCCCTCCCTTTGGGGTTAGCACCACTCAGGCCCTCCCCAGCACCACCTCCCTGGGTAAGGGTCCCCTGCCTCATCCATGGGTCCCCGTTCTGTGCCCACCTCGTAGTTTCTTGTCATGGCCCGGCACCACTCCAACAGCATGTTCTTGACCCCGCCAATGGCGGCCCCGGCTGCCTTAGTGTTCCGGAACAGGGCGGTGGGGCCCGAGGCTGCCCTGTGAGGGGGAAAAGTGTACAGGCTTCCCCAAAGGGCCCCACTGGGAGGA